GTCAGTGTATCCGCCATTCCTTCATGGAGAAAGAACCCATTGCAGATGAGCTATAACTAATTGATGAATAGACTCAAGAATAGCTTGCTCTAATCAATCTCCAGTCACATATTCTTCAGTCACACATGACAATTTCATTCTCATATTCTGAAATAATTACCACCATGGCTTTGTGAATTAGGCTGCTTTGGATAGCCCAGAGCCTGTGTTTAAATGAGACCCCCCCCCAAAGATACTCATTTCTCTTCATCTGCTAAATGTAGCTGCTTTAAAATATCTTCTCAGGCTGTCGAGACATTATGGAATGAGGTCATGTTCAGATCAATACTGCCGCAGTGCTTTTTGATTAATGTGAGGTTAATGGGCACAGCCCTCTCCTCAGCCCCATGGTGGAGCAGGATAAAATTATCTGAAATGCATACATAATGCATGAGTTCTTGGGGGAGGGGAGAAAGGGCAGAAGGTGGGGGTTGCCCAGAGTAGTCCAGGCAGGAGACCAGGGTATGCAAAGGCCCTGTTCTGCAGGGTGTGGCAGATAAAAGAGGGACAAAGAATACTATGGTGATGAGCACAAGAGCATATTGGGGACCTGAAGGGACAAGGCTAGAGACGTGGCAGCCTGTCCAGATTAGTGCAAGCATCAGATGCTTGCCATGAAATGTAGGCTAGATGAGTATGTGCATAGAGGGGTGCTGTAAAAAGGATATGTTTCAGAAAGGGGAATGAATATCTGAACCTGGCTGTGAGTCTCCCCCTCCCCCACCATAGACATACTCAAATGGTGTCTGGCAACTACTTTTGACCCAGGACACCTTATGCTGAGTCAGTCCTGAGAGGCCCTGTCAGCCTGGCTATTGGACAGAGAGAGTGAGTGTAAAATCTGACCCTTGGCCATTCCTGCTGGTATCCAGGTCATGACACATATTGAGGGTGGAATTCCACTTTGTTTTTGTAATACCGTTCTTTTTATTTGTTGGTTTCTTTTTGGTTTTTGTTTTTCAAGACAGGGTTTCTCTGTTTAGCTTTTGGAGGCTGTCCTGCAACTCACTCTGTAGGCCAGGTTGGCCTTGAACTCACAGAGCTCCACCTGCCTCTACCTCCCAAGTGCTGGGATTAAATGTGTGCATCACCACCACCCAGCTCCCTTTAGTTTTTCTGAAACAACCTTGATTTACAAGGTGCTGGTGAGGCCCAGAAGGCTGGGCCTTTGCCCACCTTCTTGTCTTAAAAGCAGGGTTTGTAATTGTCTGGGAAATGGACAGAAAACCCAGAAGGGTAAAGATCCATGTCTGCTCAGAACAGGCACAGTACCTAGTCTCCACCTTGCAGGAAAACTGTCATCCACTCTCCTCTGGAGCTAAATTACATCAGGTTTGCTTTGTCAGAGGTTGGATGTCTGTGTATACTATGGGAAGCATTTGCCTTCCTGTGTAAATCTACATCTGCCCAGCCTTAAGGTTATTGTTGCAGACCCAGAGGCTGAGGGGACCTGCCGGGTTCAGTGCATTTCTTGGTTTACTTGTTTCAGTGAGGACATGCCTCTGTCCTGCAAAAGGGCTGCCAGAGCAGATGACAGAGTGCTAGTGCAGCTTGCTCCATAAGGAAGGTCTTAGTGCCCTGGAACGAGGAGGCAACCAGCACCTGGGAGTGAGGGTGGGAACTGGGCTGTAGTGGCATCTTGTTCTGCTAATAGATTTGAGGTACTGGCCTTAGGCTGTGGCCTCAGTTTGCTGGCCATGATCCCTTATAAGGAAAAGAAGGAGTCTTAAACTCATGATCCTCCTGCCTGAGGATCCTTATAAGGGATCATGTCTGTCCACACACCTAAGCCACACTCCAAGGCCAGTACTTCAAATCTATTGGCCGAACAAGATTCCACTACATCGGGCTTGGCTATTGACAGGCCATTTATTTGTCTTAATGATGGCAAGGATGGTTGCAGTCAGGGCCCTTGTCACCAAGGCCTCCATTAGTGCTGAGTTATCCCCAGAAATGGTGGTGCAGTTCCCTGGGAGCTACTGCAGCTGAGTCTTTAGCCCTCTACAGAACAAACAGTGACCTTCCCTGATAGATCTGCTGAACACAGGGAGTATGGTTGTGAACTGATGGTGTTCTATGGGACCAGTGAAGTAACTGCAGCAAGTGTCTAAGTGTCTCATCATTCCAGTCAGTCAAGGAAACCTTGTTAAAGAACACCTGTTATCACTGCTAGAGCTGTCTGGAGAGAAAGACCACAGGTCTGTGTGCATTCACTGGGTTTGGGCCAGGCCCTGGGAATAAGAGTGGCTTGGAACCTTCCATGCAACTGAGGGTAGAGTCTCCAAGAGAAGAGGACTGGTGTCTAGCCCCTGCTGCTTGCAGAGTATTGTGAATTAGTGGTGACTCTCAGCAAGGCACAGAAACAGTCGAATCACCCTTGGGCAAAGACCACAGTTCAGAACCATGAGCAGGGTGCTGCCCTTACCATACAGGATGGCAGTATTGGCAGGAAGCTCAGAGGAGCCATCTGCAAAAAAAAAAAAAAAAAAAAAAAAAAATACCACAATTGACTCCATCCATCACACCAACCAGTTCCAGACCTGGCAGTGTACCCTTTCCCATGTGTCTGACTCTTCAGTCTGCTTGGGGCTAATTCCAAGTCCTGCATACTGTCTATAATGATGGTGTGGTATCAGTAGCTCAAGAGAAAAGCATCATTATTGACTTAAACTGTGCAGCTCTTTTCCCCATGGATTCAGTAGCACTACCATCCTGTCCAGATGGTAAGAAAGTCGCTTAGTCATCTCAACACAATCCAGTCCCACGTGCTCATGCCTTGTCCCATAGACCTGCATAGGCAGATCTCCTCTTTGGAGCCTACCTATTAGGGCATCCCAGAAAAGGGATATAAGGGGACCTAGAGTCATGACTACCACAGGGCTGTCAGAGTACATTCATATGTTCAGGGGCCAGCAAGCCTTCCCAGGTGGTGCATAGTAAGTACTCCTTGCACACCTGGGTTTGTTCTAGGATAATAACTGCAGTAGCAAGATGACAGTGAATTCCTGAGTCCAGAGTTAGGTTCAAGCACTGATTCCCTAAAGGCAGTCTAAAGAGGAACAGTTCCTCAAACCATACTTAAATGGATTTCAAATAAAACTTACTTATCACCCAGGGATTGGGACAGGGTGGTCACTGAGGGGCCCAGTATAGATTATAAAAGCCAAGTTATCTAACTCCCTGTGTAGAGATAGGTTATTTTCTCAAAGATACATGAGATGTCTTAAAGTTTGGACTATCAGAGTACATAGTTTCTGTGGACATGCATGCCTGTGAGTTACAGACCTGAGAAGCCCCTGCCAACTTGGGCCTTGGTGCTTGTAGGTCACCATTGTTTAATGTGGCCTCCTGGGTGCAGGTACTGGACTGGGCTTAGGTTGGACAGTGGGCAGGGATGTGAGACACACAGCCTCATCTGAGTCTGGGGCTTGGAAAGCAGCAGAGCTTAGGCTGAGACCTTGGGGATCCTGGGAAGGCAGATAGAGGAGGGTGTCAAAGGCTGTCCTGCCATTGGAGGGCACTGGTAAGCTCTGCAGGGAGCTGCTCTACTGGCAGTGCACTGGAGCTCCACAGAGAGCCAGGGAAAGTGGAGGTAGCAGCTTAGGCTGGGCAGAACAGTGGGACCCTAAAACCTCCACCTCCCCAGCGACTGTGTGGAGCAGGAAAGGGAAGAGGAAGGAGCCTGTCCTCTGCAAACAAGGGAAAGGCATCTTGTCAGGACTCACTTCCCAAGCCTGCAGACCCCAAGCACATGGGTCCAGGTGGGCCCCAGACTTTGTGCCAGGGTGAGCAAGAAGGGCTTCTGAGTGAAGGAAACCATAGTCACGGCTGAGAGGCAGGACAGCAGGCCAGGCTGCCTTTGTGACCCGATGCTCTACTGTGGGTGTGGTCCCAGGGACTGTCCCTCACATGACATCCTCTCACTTTGCCTGGGTTGTACTGGATCCTCTGTTGTGGTCACTTTCCTCTTCCAAGGCCATGCACTTGGCACGAAGTATTGGGAGCTTGAGTTGTAGGGTTCACCTTGCCCTTGCAGCTAGTTAGTTGCTAAGGCTGCTGACATGCCTTGGCTAGTAGCTTCCATGGATGAAGCTTACCTGCTTATGCCCTCCAGACCAAAATTTGTTCTTTGCCCTGGTCTGCTTCCTCTTGACATAACCCCCTAATTCTGATGTCCTGTTTTTGGGGTGTATTTATGTCACCTTAGTTCTGCTGGGATGTGTTATTGTCTGCTTGGCCCTGTCAGTCATTTTTCTATTTCCTTTGAGCATTTTCCAACTCTCCTACAGTCAGAGCTGGGTGGGGCCTGGCTGCCTCAGCAGATGGTGAGTACAGGCACGTCTGAAGTCCCACTGCCACCACAGTCATATGCTGAGCAGATGTCATAGGCATGCTAGAGGTCCTTGAGAAACGGGGCTCCTTCAGGAAGGGCTCTGCATCGTGGCTATTAGGATAGGCACACAGAGTCCATGTTCTGTCCCTGCCCCTCTTATCCCAGTAGCTTCCAGGTAATGAATAGGAGGCCCCTGCAGGTGGTCCTGGTTCCAAGTTCTCTATGGGGTTTTATTGCTTCCTAGTGATGGAATCTCTTGGGGTTGCTTTGGGCCAGTCACATGTGTCAGGATAATGGAAAGATGGGCCCTGAACTTGAATAAACCCTGCTCCATACCTACTGACTCTTCAGTCTACTTCTGAACCTCTTCCTGTCCAGAAATGAGAAGCAGCGTGGAGTCTGTACTGGGTGCCACTCATACCCTAATCAGCTTCTCACAGAGACCTGGCATATGGCAGGTGATCTGTGAGAGATGGCTTAAGGGTCTGCACCTCAGCAATCAGAAGGGGGCCCTGGAGCCCCAGGACCTCACCTGCTCTCCACAGATTTCCACGACATGTACCCAGAGCCCCAACTTCTCTCAACTCTCATGCTGGGGATACTGACCAACATTTTGTGTTTCCTACAGGTCACCTGGATGTCAGCATGGCAGCCACAAACCTCGAGAACCAGCTGCACAGTGCACAGAAGAACCTGCTCTTCCTCCAGCGGGAGCACGCCAGCACACTCAAGGGACTACATGCTGAGATCCGGCGGCTGCAGCAGCACTGCACAGGTGGGGGCAGGCCGATGGCTACAGAACCAGAATCACCATCAGGATGTGCAGTCTGGTCAGCAGCTGTGCCAGGCCCACTCCCCATGATATGTCCACACTTTAACCCTCTGTTGCCCATACCCCTGTAAGTCTTAGCCCACACAGCATCATGGAAGCACTGAGCATTCAGCTGCCAGCCTTGCCCTAGAACAGCAGGTGCCTACAGCACTCAGCCACAGCGTAGCCTACAGTACACAGGGTACTGCTTGCTCGCTTTCTGCTTATTGGGGTGTATTCTGGGAAGATGAGGAAGGGAACTCTTGAGGGACAGGTCCTTTTGCAGCCCTGATAGGAACCTTGACCTCTGGTGTTTCTTACATCAATCCTTGGAGCTGCCAGCCCTGCTTCTACAGTGCAGAACTCAATGGGATTTGATGCTGTTTTCAGAATGATGTGACGTACTCCATGATAATCAATGTGTCATGTTTCCTTTGCAGATCTAACATATGAGCTGACACTCAAAAGTTTTGAACTGACAGGTAAGAGCTCCTCCTCACATGTGGGTGCATCTTGTTTTCTTTGTAATATATTCCCACTGGTCACGTGCTTAGGATCCCTTTTGCAATGAGTGGTTTCCCGGAGCAAAGACAAGTTTAGAACACTCAGACCCCTGTGGGCTGGAGTGATGAGTGGCTTTTTTTCACTTCCCATTGATAATATGTCTAGAATGTCTATTATATACTTTTAAGAATATTCTAACTTTCCTACCATGAATTTATCTTTATCTGTAATCCAGAAATAACCTTCAATGTGACTTTCCAGAAAGGAGGAAAAGTGAGACTAGGCAGAAGGTCCTCCTACCCCAGTCTGCAGGGCTTAACCAAGCCTTGGCCCAAAACCAGGCGCTCTGTAATGGGGGGAAGGGGGGTGTGTGGGCTTCCATTCATGGCCCGGAGGTTGGGACCATCATTCTCTGGACTGCAGTCTAGATATGCAACCCTCAAGGGTATAGCAAACCAGTGGTGGCCAGAGCAATGACAGGGACAGGGTCTTCTAGAAACTCTGAGCCCATTAAGACTGGCTGGGACTTAAGGTTTAGGACATGTATCTGGGGGCCTTTTCCCTAACTAAGCTCTACAAGGGCAGTTTGCTCTCATCAGAGTCCAGTCTTTGTTGAAACCTCAGCTCACATCACTGAGCACTTGTCACTGAGCACTCCTGTCATAGTTTTGCCTGAGTGGGTGGAGAAGGCCCTGTCAGGCTTCCTAGGCCTTGGAGCAGGAGCCGACCCACCAAAATCTCTCCATAGAGCCAAGACACCCGGGTCCTTGCCAGGAACTCAGGACAAGAGTTGCAACTTGTTGTGGTTGGGCTATACCCCACCCCCACCACGGCAGGTCTTGGGCAGGCACTGCCCATGCTGTGGGAGCCAGGGTGTTCTCACACCTCCCCCTTTTGCCCAGATTAGTCTGCAGCAGCTCTGAAACCTGTCTCAACCCCCCTCACCACCCCTTTAGAACACCCTCAGCAGCATTATGGCTTTTATCAAAGGTGTATGAGCTGCTACTTCAGCAGAGGGGGCAGTTTGAAAAGCCTCTGGGTGGGTTTTGTGAGGGCATGTCCCATCCTCTGGGGTAAAACTAGTGCTCAGTTCAGTGCGCATCAAACACAAGCTCAGAAGGCAGGTCAGAAAGAATCCTGATTCTCTCTCCTGAAGGCCATGAAGCCTGTGGTCAGTGACACAAGCTGGCTCAAGCAGTACTGCTCGGTGGTTATGAGCAGTTGCTCTACACCTCTCATGGGGAACAGAGGACTGTGGACTAGACAAGTTGGAAGTTTCTAGAGAGGATGTGTGTAGAGGAGCAGGGGTACCAGTACCTCCTAGAAGCACCTGCCAGATCCAGGCAGACCTGTACCCGAGAGCAGACATCAGGGTAGCTAGGTCATTTTCAGAGGACGACGGTGCTCGCCCAGACCTCTCAGGGATAGGAGGCCAAAACAAGCACCTTACTGAGGAACCCTGGATCTCTGTTCTGTTGGGCTAGGGCTGTGTGCCTGACAATGTCTATAATGGCCCTGAACCTGTGACTGTCAAGGACTGTGTCCTTCACCAGCACTAGGGAGTCTGCGCTAATGTCTCAGGTCTATCAGGCCTGTTAGCATTCCCTGAAGACATAGATCCCAGAATTATGTCTGCTGGGATGCAACCAAAGACCTGAGGTTATAGACTTCCATGCTATAGATAGGGCTGAGATGGGAGGGCCCACCCGCAGGGCCCACCCGCAGGTGTTTGGAGGAAGAGCAATGGATGTCAAGCCTGATCTAGTGCTGTAGGGGTTTTTATATTCTCTTGGTTATGGCTAAAAACACAACTCATAGCTGACATTGCATCATATCTAGGGCTACCATTTACTGATTCAGTCTCCCTCTACACACAATCATACACATCTGTGTTCACCTGCAGAGAGTTTGCAGTATATACTCACCCATAGGGCTTCTACTAACTCAGTCTACATGAAGCTGCTGGCTTAGGGAGTATATAGTATGCTCCCAGTACCCACAGGCACTGCAGGGCTAGCTGCAGATTTTGGATGCACAGATCTGGAGTTGAATCAATTATAGTGGTCACAACATAGAAAAACAAAGGAGACGGGCAGCTCACATTCATGTGGGTGTGGAAGGCATGGAACAGATGGACTTTCATGTCAGACTGGCAGCTTGTTGGCCCGTGAGGAGTCATTTTTGGCCAAAGAGGAAGAGGAGAGCATGGCAGATTGAAGGAGGCCTGGGAGGTGGCGGTACCCAGTGGGAAGTAGGACCAGTAGCACCAAAGGTAGCAGAGAGGAAAACTTCTAGATTGGGGTAACTGGGAGAATGAAGGTGGCAGAAGACAGGGTCTAGGCCTGAGGGACATGTCTGACACCCTTCACTTGTAGAGCTGGCACTCCAGAGACGCTGACTCCAGCTGACGCTCAAGCTGTTTTAACTTCAGCACCTTCAGATTCTGGAGACGTTCTTTTACGCAGTAAGCCAGGGAACCAAGAGCTGGGAGGGGCCTTAGAGACCCCCTGATTCGCCTTTAGTGGGAGCAGGGTCTGCAGGCCATCCTGCACCCTGCCTACCATAGGGCTCCTCGCCAGGGCCCTCCACACAGGCCATGAGCATCTCCTTCCTCTGCTAGGCTCTGATCTGGCACCTGACTCTTTCCTGCAGGAGACGGCTCCTCCAGAACAACGGAGCTGAAGAGGCGCTGTGAAGAGCTGGAGGCCCAGCTGAAGGCCAAGGAGGAAGAAAACCACAAGTTACTGCAAGAACTGGAGCAGAAGAATGCTGCCATCGCTGTGTTGGAGAACACAGTCCGGGAGAGAGAGAAGAAGTACCTGGAGGAGCTGAAGGTCAAGAGCCACAAGCTGAGCATGCTGTCCGGTGAGTTGGAGCAGCGCGCCAGCACTGTGGCCTACCTCACCTCACAGCTGCATGCAGCCAAGAAAAAGCTACTGAGCTCCAGCGGCACCTCTGACGCCAGCCCAGCCGGCAGCCCTGCACTGGCCAGCTATAAGCCCACACCCCCCAAGGACAAGCTGCCCGAGACACCCCGTCGGCGCATGAAGAAGAGCCTGTCAGCCCCGCTGCACCCTGAATTTGAGGAGGTCTATAGGTTCGGAGCTGAGAGCCGCAAACTCCTTCTGCGGGAGCCGGTGGATGCAATGCCTGATCCCACCCCATTCCTGCTGGCCCGGGAGTCTGCTGAGGTTCAGCTCAAGGAGCGGCCTCTTGTCATACCTCCCATCGCCTCAGACCGTGGCACCAGTGGGCAACACAGCCCAGCCCGAGACAAGCCACACAAGACCCACATCGGGGTGGCTCATCGCATCCATCATGCCAGTCCACCACAGGCCCAGCCTGAGGGGGAGACCAGGGCTGTGGACCAAGTGAACACAGGGAAGGTGGTGCGGAAGCACTCAGGGACGGACCGAACTGTGTGAAGCCTGCGGCCACCACCGCAGCCATCCGTGCACTGTGAGCGCCACAGGGAACCTCACCCACCCTTCCTCATCCCACCCATGCCAAACGTTTCCTACCGTCGCAGCCTGGCTCCTGGCCCCATAGTGACACAATGCTATGATGGTGTCCCCACTGAAGATATTTACTGGCACTGTGGCCAATGCCTGCATGCCAATAGCTTGCTTCCAGCCCCATGCCATGAGATCTCGGCACACTCCTAGACAAGGCCCAGACCACGGCTGCATCACATGTTACACAAATCAGAAGTGCTTGAAGTCAAAGCAAAATAAGGACCCACCCCTCCCAAGATCCAGGGCAGCCTATGAGAGCAGAGCAGGAGACTCCTACCTGAGCAGCTGTATGTCACATGATCTAAGCAAGATGACCTCACCCCTCACGTCACCCCAATATGGTTTTTTTGTTGTTTTTGTGTTAGTTTCATCCAAATTTTCAGGATCCAACAAATGTTTCTTTCTAAACCCACCCTCCTCCTCTCTTTTTGAAGCACCAGGGGACTATGGAGGAAGTGGGAGGAAAGGACTAGCAGGTGGGTGTGGGAATACTTGCAGCCCCGAGCACTTGCTGAGATGTTGGTGCTGCTGCATTTCTGGCAGAAGCTGCTTTCTGTCCTGCCTAGGCTCCACACTGCCTCCCTGTCTCTAGCTGGCCAGGCCAGTATAAGAGAGGCAGCCAGTAGCCATTGTTCCCATCCCCAAGCCACATAAAGGCCCTGGGAGAGGAGGAGTCTGGAACTTGGGCAGGAACTGAACTCTTGGGAACCCTGTCCCAGCAGCCTCAGCCTTCTGTGTTCTTGCCAGCAAAGGGCATGTGCTGGAGCAGAGACAGGTAGAACCCCACACCAGTGGCTTACTAGGGATGGAGGGAATGCACTTGCCTTAAAGCTTGCACTGGCGTGTACTGGGTCCAAAGTTCTTGGAAAGATGATCGAGAAGCAAAATCAAGGCTAGAGAGATGCTGCTGCCCAGAGATTTCAGCAGGCACATGGCAGCTCACAATTGGTTGTAACTCCAGGGACCCCAACACCTCACATGTGGTGCACGTATATTCAGGCAGGCTCACACACATACAGAAATAAAATCTTTAAAAAAAAAAAAAAAAAAAAAAAAAAAAAAAACCAAGTGTGGTGGTGCAGATTTGTGACCCCAGCCCCGGGGAAGTGGTGACAGGGACCCTGAGGCTTTGGCAAGTCAGCAAGCTCCAGGAGACACAATGAACAAGACTGACATGCACCCACATATGTGCATCCACACACAAAAACCCGTTGCAAAACAAGGTTCATTTAATGGAAAAGTATGTTAATATGGCCAATTTCAAATGTAAGGAAATTCGGCATCAAACACCTTCCACCACCACTGCACCTGGCCCGCTAGGAAAATTCCCTGAACCACCACCAGTCTCCCTTTCTTTGTGAAGCATCAGCACCTGTGTGGCCTGCCATAGGCGTGGTAGCTCCATGTAGTCCTTCACAGGCCGGGCGGGGTTAATCTGAGTTCAGGGTGAGGCACACCCCCTGTAGCACCCAGTGTGAGATGTGCTTCGTGGTAAAGAGATCAGCTTCAAACACCAGGCCAACTCCCATGGCATTCCTCCTCATGGAGGTGGTATAGACAGGGGTCCGGAAGGTGTTCTGTAAGGGAGAAGAATCAGCCAAGCACTCCACGAGCAGCAGTCCCAGGCTTACATCTGAGTACCATGGGGTGGCTGAGCAAGTGATACCCAGTCCACAGACAGCTCATCAAAAGATGGTTCCCAGCCAGGCAAAGAAGGCATCTACTATCTACACTAGGTGGTCTGCTACACTACTTTCTGACTCAGCGTGTCCAGAATTTCCCAAGAAGGCAGTTTCCCCTGGGTCTCTACTACAGGCTCTAAACTTGGGACTTGCCCCCTGGGGATGATGGGCACCCACATGCATGTACACCAGAATGTTTCCCCCTGAACTGACCCTATAGCTTTAAGCATGCTCCCAGAGCTTCCCTAGCCTGCCCTGAGAGGGGGGAAGGCACCATGGGACAGGGGAGTGGCCGTCACCTGTAGCTTCAGGCGGTGAGCTTCAATGGGGATGATCTTCAGGATGGGCAGGTCCACAACCAACACCTTGGGCTTGCTCTTGATAAGACACCCATTCTCTATGTCCCAGTCAGCGCCCTCTAGGTAGAGCCCTGAGACAAAACACCCTGGAGGCGACAAGATGATGCATCTGTGTCCTGTTGTGTGGTCACTTTCCTCTCACAGGTGTGCACAGAGGACAAGGACAAAGACCACTGTAACCCCCTTCCACATGTAAAAAATAGGGGACACAGGGCTCCAAAGAAGTGGGATCAGGCAGCACCTCCCTCCCCAGACTCTGACTTAAGGGACACAGAGATGGCACACAGCAATCCCAGCATCCTGTGAGGCAAAGGGAAAGTCCAAGAGGAATGTGGTCTCTAGCATGCAGAGACCACAAAATTGAGAATGCTGATGCTTACTGGTGGTCTAGTGGTCATTGCTATCACCAAAGGCAAAAAACTCTACCTGCCCCACAGTGGCAGCTGGATGCTCACCAGCGAGACCTATCTGAGGGGTCCCCGAGACTTGCCCATTAATCCACTCTTGTTAAACAGACACAAAGGGGCTTCTGCTCTTTTGCAGTTCAATGGGCTCTGGCTAGGGGAATAGTTTCCAACTAGCAGCTACATAGAGTGCTGCCAGATGGGCTCAAATCCGCACATCTAGCAGATGTGTCCCATGGGCGGAGGATAGGGATGAGTGCAGCCCAGCACAGTTGCAGACCTACTTAAAAGGGTATGAGGAATTTTCTTTCATGATTTTTAAACAGATCATACAATTCTCAAGTAGGAACTTTGTAGTTGACACTGTCATGTCATATGTCAAAAGGTTGGTGTGTCTTGACTGAGGCTCTGGCCTAACCTATGTGCTCTTTGGCTCCTACATGTCTTCCCTTCTGAGGAAGCCACTCACTGATCTTTGAAAACTCACTTAACCCAGGAGCCCACTTGCCACAAACTAGCATGGTCAGGCCTTCCTGCCATCCACCCTATGACTCTACTGTCTCGAGTGAGAAACTCTGCTCTCTGAGATAGCCCCATAGGCAGCAGCCCAGCTCAAGCATGGCCTGATCCACACAGTCCTTTTGAGTTGGGGGATGGTTCTGGGAGGGAAGCCCCAAATGGAGACCAGGGTTTGTGACCCTCTTGTACCTTGCCCCGCACGCTCATTTACTTCATCAGCATCCTGGAACTTGGTCACTTGTGTGAACAAAGTGGACCGGTCCAGCGGCCAGCCATTCCTCCGGCATGTGGCTTGTACCAGTGCTGTAAGGTAGGACTCTGGGATGTGCAGCCCTGAGAGCCACATCACGCTGGGCTCACTCTCGGTAACCTGGTAAGGAAGGTGGGCAGGAGTAGGAGCCTGGGCTGTAACACCAGGTTCAAAGCTGGTAAAAGACCTGATTTCCCATGGTGACCATTGGAGAAAAAAAGACCACCAAACTCCAGGTGGACCAAAAATCTAGGGAGACACCAAGGTCATTAAAGTGCTTGCCACACAAATGTGGGGACCTGAATCTGATCCTTAGGATCCACATTATAAGGTATAGTGGTATATGTTTAATTCCAGTGCTGAGGCAGTAGAGAAGACCTTTGAGCTCCCTGACCAGCCAGCCCATCCAAGTCAGTGAACCTCAGGTCCTAATGAGAAACCCTGTTGACTGTTTTTTACTCTTTACTCTTTGGGCTCTTTTATGGGGGAGGCTGCCACCCAGTTCCCAAATAAATCACTTGGAGGCTTATTATTACTTATGAATGCCCAGCTTTAGCTTGGCTTTGTTTCTAGCCAGCTTTTCTTAAATTATCCCATCTACCTTTTGCCTCTGGGCTTTCTCCTTTTCTTCCTTCTGTATATCTTTCTTTCACTCTTACTCCGTGCCTGGTCCTGGCGTTGTCCTTCTCTCCTGCCTCTTGCTCTGTCTTCCCTCCTCCCAAATTTCTCTTTCAACTTATTCTCTCTGCCTGCCAGCCCCGCCTATCCTTTCTCCTGCCTAGCTATTGACAGTTCAGCTCTTTATTAGACAGGTGTTGTAGACAGGCAAAGAATCACAGAGTTAAACAAATGCAACATATAAAAAAAATTGCACCACGTCTTCGCATCATTAAACAAATGTTCGACAGCATAAACAGATGTAACACATTTTAAAATAATATTCCACAGCAAAACACTGTATCAACAAAGTCATGGCCCATGAGGAATGACACTCAAGGTTCACATCTGGCATCTACACACATGTGCACCCACCTGCATGCACACAGTAGACAAATCCACAAAAATGTCACATCAAACTTCTGTTTTCTCAAGTGGAGAATTGCAAAGCCTACAAGCCCCCCCAAAAAGACTTTTGTCTGCATTCAAACTTAAAACCCTCCTATAGAAACACACATACAGCTGAGCGGTGGTGGCTCAAGCCTTTAATACCAGTACTTGAGAGGTAGAGGCAGGCAGATCTTTGTGAGTTTGAGACCAGTCTGGCCTAAAAGAGGTATTTCTAGGACAGGCTACAAAGCTAACAAAGCTACACAGGGAAACCTGGTCTTGAAAACTTAAATAAATAAATAAATAAGACACACATATACACCATCACCTAACTAAATAAATGGCTCTTAGCAGGGAGGACTCCATGCATCCATCACCAGCAGACCAAGAGTTACTTTCTCTCATATACAAAGAACGCTTAAAAAATAATGAAAAGCGCTAAGGAGACAGTTCAGTGAGTAAAGCACATATACCTGGGATCCCTGGAAACTATGTAAAGCTGGGTGTTCTGCCACCCATCTAATCCTAGGCCCTTACAGTAAGATGGGAGATGGGCAGGAGAATGGCCAGAGACTCATCAGTCTACTAGCTTGTAGTGTTTAGCAGTGAACAAGGGACCTGTCTCAAATAAGGCAGAAGGCAAGGACTGAATCCTAAAGGTTGTCCTCTGACTTCCACATATGAACCCAAATGCATTCATTCACACATGCTCACGCACACACATATTTCATACATACATTTTTAAAAATCAGTGCAAAAAGATGGAGTCTTCTATCAAAAAGTTTACAGAAAATAGAAATGTCTTTAAGCATATGCAACACCTTCCACTTTATCTTCATTAAAGATATGCAGGGCAAAAGCAATTAGATACTCCATTGGAGAGCAAAGGCCGCAAACTCACAGATCACACAGATTTGCAGAAAACAGACATCACTCCCCAAGAA